CGGCTTCAGCGGGGCCCGGGGGCGTGGGGGGACCCCCAGCTCCGGACCGGCTCTGCTGGGACTTGCCGTCTGTCCCCCCGATTGCCCATGTTTTTCAAAAGCGAGCCTCCTCACGTCGGGCCGCGGGGATGTCCGGGCAGCTCCGGCTGACAGCGGTGGGGCCGAGTGTGAAATCACCGCTCGGGTTCCTCTGGAGTCCCTTGGGTTTTTTTACATTAAGGACAGCTGATTGTTTTAACTCCGTGCTGCCTGTCTCGTAGGCTGGCCTGTGCTTCATGTTAATGTGAACTTTACGTCAGGGGGTATTTTCCAGGTGGGAGAGTGAAAGACAATAATTTACCGGAGGACATGTCGGAACAGGAGGACAGGGTCAGGGACTAACCTCGCCCCTAACCCATTAGCCATATGACAGCATGTCCAAAAACCCTCTGTCTCTCCTAACCGAACTCCCTGCTCTGTAAGGAGAAATCTGTTTCTTTACCATTCCAAATGACGGATCCTGATCCTCACCTACAAGGCTGTTCATACCCATCATTTTCCTAACCCCCCGCTCCCTGTGCATCTTCCTGTCCCACCAATCCTCCTCATGTTTGACAGTTTGGGGAGGGGAGCAAAATGGTGGAGGGGGTTCCCCGTTTGGTCCTATTGTCTATCCATCGGCAGAAATGGAAACAGACCCTAATTACTCCGAGTCATTAAAAATCTTCCAGTTGGTTTTGCAGGAGAAGCCTTCCTACCTGCAAGCTTCCTGGTCAAATTTCAACTGAGAAAAAGGCAGTTTACTCACTGCTATCGGCATATACCATTATGTACTGCCATATTTCACAGCCAAGATAGCTGGTGAAATTTTTATTATCCTGCTATGGTTATAGAATATTTATATTGTCATAGCACCTATAGAGCATCATTAGGTCACGCCCTAGAGGGTCAGATGCAGTATAACTATAGGCATTGGCAGTATATCCTGATGTGTCATGAGCTGAAGAACCAGCTAACCTGAAGGGTAACTAAGTAGCTTCACAGAGGTGTTATGAGTCTTAAAGTTTTCAAGATGCATTATTTATATCTGCCAGTCTCTGTTAGATTCAGACTAAGAAATAGCACAGATAAATGTGCCTTTAAGGTAGTTTCTCTTTCCTCTGTTACTATGCAGCTAGACAGACACCTGGTTCTTTCAAAGCAAAATGGCTGGAGTTATCTTGTCACTTTTTTATACTCTTAAAAATATTTAGCTCGCTCACACAACATCTGAGCAGCAGCAGCAGCTGCTCAGACCTTGATTGAGCAATGTCTATATATAGCTCTTGGACAGAGAAACAAGACAAAGTTTGCTGAGGTGTCCAAGGACTTCTCTAAACAGTAAATATCCTTCCACAGTTTGAGTATTTTGCTGCACTGACTGGAGAAATATGTAGTCCAATGTAAGAGTAAATGACCACACCGTACGAAACAAAGGATCCCATCAAGTCTGGCATGTCAATATTTTCTTTACTATCTTTCCAGAAAGTAAATGTGTTGGAGGGAAAATGACTTTAAAATAATCCCATTCATTTCTTCTCTGGCCTGTTGCTGAATGTAGAAAATAAGGTGAGATCTGCTACTTAATTTTGCAGAGACTCTGCCAGCAGCTCTGTCTTCTGAATCTTCCTGTCCCTCCCATCTGTTTCTTAGCCAAATCTGATGGAAAAAAAAGACGTCTTTGTTCTTTGTCTACCTCTCCTAAGAGAAATCTCAGCCCTTTTCTGGTCTAAGTCCTGCTCTTCCCCCAGCGTGGAAGTCTGCATCACAGCATCAGATACCCTCTCCTGATCTTCAAAATCCACTAGATCACACAGACCAAGTCCTCCTCTGCTCCCCTCTGGGGCTCCCTTGATTACCCAGAATCTGCTCT